CCGTCACACAGGATGCCACGTCGAAGCTTAGGCGGTGCCAAAGAAAAAGTTATGTGCTTGGTTGGAGAAATAATTACGACAACCCTAGCTTTTCGCAGTTGATTTTGAGTATGGCGGCCAAAATCTACGCCGCACCTTAGGCGTTGCCGTGCTCTGGGTGGCAACCCTAATGACAGCGGCACGGGCTCACGTACGCTTCACGGCTGGCATAGGCCAGCAAGCTTGTCACTGTCACGACGAGCCATCTCTGGCCAGCACGTTTGTTGGTTGGCGTGCTCTGGTTTTCGTTTCATCCGGAATAGGATCCAGAAATAAGGGTCTGTTTAGATTTTAAAAAATTTTACGCAGTATTCGTCACATCGATTCGAATCTTGCGACACGCATACGTAGAAAGACTCAATGTAGATTAAAAAAAATTAATTGCACAAAGATTGGGTGAGAAATCACGAGACGAAACTTTTGAACCTAATTAGTCCATAATTAGACACTAATTATTAAATACAAACAAAATGCTAAAGTGAACCAAAATCCAAAAAAAATTTGATCTAAACGGGGCCTAATTCCTAGCACGTAATTTGGTAGAGGAGCCGAAATTACTCCCGGTGTATTCCGAGAAAACCGAACAGCCTCGAGAACCAGTGTTGTGAAGGCTGGTACGGTTCCAAATGGTCGTTGTTTAGTCCGTAGCTCTGTGCCGACATTTTATGAGCTATATATAAATGATATATATTATGCAATACTAGTTTTTTTTGTATATATAAAATAAACACGTCAGTGCAAAGGGGAAAAGTTTGGTCTCTTCCGAGGCCCTGCTGCGTTTTACGTGCAGTGTGTGCTCTGCTCGATCAGTCAGTTGTCACAGCGCCCGGTTGCAGCGGCGTCATCGGCTTGCGTCGCATTCCTTTCACCTCCAGCATTTTAATTTGCTTGCAGTGCCTTGCTCAATTAGATAGGAGTATTATACTCCTATTCCATATATAATATAAGCTGCGACTCCGATGTGTTTCATTGATTTCTTTTTAGCTAGGAAGAAAAGGAGCTGGCCTGAACAAGCAAGCAAAGCAATCCTGTTGGTGTTGCGCACGCAAGCACGGGTCTCCTATGTCGTTGTCGTCTTTGGTGTGGTGCTCACATCCTAGTGATAAGCTATAGCCACTTAGCCATTGTTGGACACTCTCGCAAGAAACTGCATGCATGCTTTATATACACACATATACAAGACGATACGCTGCAAGAACGTGGGGATGATAGCTACTGATGAGCAGAGAAACAGATAACTTATATAGCTCATCTGTTTGGTTTCTGGCTTGCAAGATTTTTCATCCGGCGGCAGCCATGGCTGCCAATTCGATCTCCGCCCGCCACGCACGTTGGCCGGCTCCGATGAAGATGAAAGGAACCGGACGAAATGGCTTTCGTGGTCTCTGCGTCACCGTCTGGCTGACCTGCGCGACGTACTGTGCACTCCTCTGCACCCGAGGCACGGCACATCATGTGCGGATATATATGGGCTACCAAAGAGGCGGCCCGTCTTTTTTAACTCTTTTTGCATCAACATCGTACGTATATGATTCGTACGTATACACACTACTGGCTCGATTCTTCATTTCATTTTCGCCTCTCTCCTCTTGTGTCGTAGGCGAAACATAATTAAAAAAAAAGCCAGGATTATCCCACGCTGTGCACATAGTATGCTTGTTTTGTGATGAGGTTATTTATTTGCTCCTCTATTAGTTATCATTATCCACAGAGATGTGGGTAAGGGCTGGCCTCAGATTGTTAACTAATCCTAGATGGAAACAATCCGTGTGACATATACCTGTCTTCTTCTAGCTATAAAATGATCCCAATTTCAGAATTCCAAGTGGAGACAATCACGGATGATGTATCATATTTGTTTATAATTTTGTGTAATTCAGTGCACGACAAAAAGAAATACGCTTAAAATATATAAGACTAATAATTAATATAAACTCATAGAGGTTAGGGGTACTATAGACATTGCAAAGAAAGAGAATCAATTGTTAAGGATGTCAATTGCCATACAATCCTAGTTCTTTTTTACAATTCGCAATATCTGCTTTTCACAATCCAAAGTGAAAATTGGTATCCCGCGGCTGTTCCCATTTGCTCATACCTCTCCACTACATGGTTGCGATTAGGCTTCCTACGAAGAGACATGGAGATGAAGCTCAACTATAAGTTATTCTCAAAGAGAATCTCCTCTTAACGAAACACACGAGTAGGATAGATCCGTTTGCGAAAAAAGGGGCTCTTCTTGAGAGAAGTAGGGCTTAGCACCCCTTCAGATGTTGTGAGAGCACGACCCTATGGCGCAGCATGAAGATGCACTCGTGCTGGTTGATATAGCCATGAGATTTGGTAAGTCGAGATGGACAATTTGTTGGCCTTCTATTATTCTCACTGTCCCATTTAGGAGCTATGAAACGATGAGGTTTTTCGTTGTGAACAACTATGTGTAGATCTCATTAAGAACCAGGTTGGGTTCATCTTAAGCCGAAAAAGCCATCATTTTTTTGCCAGCTCAAACCTAATCAGAGTTTGACGTGGGTTCGGTTTTTCATTCACACCAGCCTGATGGACATGTAGGGTGCAGTTTGGTTGGCTCATACTATTTACTGGGTTTTTCTATGTTGGCTTGGATTTAGGGCAAAAAGTTACTGCTCACAACCGTTTTTGATGGATGTTGTGGGTCAAAAATCATGACCCCAATACTCGTCATAGCATCAAGCAATTCTAATTTTGATCAATTTTTTAAAAAATAATAATAAAGATTTACAATACCAACAAAACACCGTTGGATACATTATGTAATACTTTTTGTAATTTACTTTTTTGATGTGGCAACCGTTAATAGTTTTTTTTTTTGCAAATTTTGATCAAACTTAAAATAATTTGAGTTGAGTAAACTAACTTATATTTCAGGATGGTGGAAGTATATTTTGTTGAACAACCCTCAAAGTGATTATTTGGGTACTTCAATTTTTCTAAGTTTCTTGTTCGAACAACAAAGTTTAGATTTATGGTTGGACATATGCTGAACTTAGAATAAACCACTTTAAAACTGAAGGATCTATATGATCAAGTTTATTAACCTAAATGAGAATATAAGAAAATTTGAAGGAATCATAGTGCATTATACTCTACCCTACTCTATTGCAAAATAAATAACCAAATCTGGTTATGGAAGCCATCCAGCGGGAGATGCTCTACACGTCTGAGTCATTTAGACTGAACCTTTTGGATTTGACCACGTGGGGATCCTCTCATCCGTGCCGTTTTATTTTTTTTCAGAAAAAAAAATCCAATAGTCTCCATACCTGCCTTGCTTCATCGGATCGGATATCTTTGGCTCCGCTTGGAGTGGAGCGGCACAAATGGAGTGCAACGCGGCGTGCCAAGTGGCCACGGCCGTACTCTTTTTTTTTTTTTTGTGAATTGGCCACGGCCGTACTCGATCTCGCGATCTCGTCCTCGCCCACTCCGCCCTTGCCTCCGCTCCGAGGGCAATTCCCCCTGTTGGCTCTATTTCCCGTCCCCGTCGTCTCGTGCCGTGCGCTTCCGTCACGACTAGTGAGACAGCTCCACTCCACTCGTGTTCCTCCCCTCCCCCACCACCACGTCGGCGTCGCCATCCATCGTCCTCGTCGCCTCGTCGAAGCCCAGGCCAGCTGAGAGCTGACTCTCTCCTCTCCCTCTCCCTCTCCCTCTCCCTGACTCCCTGAAAGGCTGGAACCCTCCAAAAAGAAGGGTGCGGATAGCGTGTCCAAATCGAAATCGAGCAGGAGTTCGTGCGCCCCGTTTTCCCTCCGCCTCTCTATTTAAGCTAACCTCCTCCAGATAAACTCCGCCAGCGCAGAGGCCTCATCCGTCTCCATCCCGCCCGCCACATCACTCGCTCACCGCCTCCGCCGGTGCCCGTGCGCCATCTCCACTCCAGCTCACCTCTCCATTCCGCCGCGAGCACACGCCCATCGAGGTGCCAGGTACGGCACCGCTGCCTGCTTTCTCTCCGGCCGGCGTCCCGCGTCGCCGGTTAATGTTAGTTTGTTTCGTCGTTGCTTTGCGAGTCGCGCGGGCGTACGCGGCCTCCTGCGCGGGGGGGTTTGATTCGTGGCGGGGTTTTCCGGGCGGTTCGGGTTAATTTGCGGCTCCAACGGCGAGGTCCGCCGATCATTGAGGTTAATTTGGGGGCGCCGGGCGCGGCTGCCGGCAGCTGGCGAGCGATCGGTCGGTGGGCGTTGGGGATCGTCGGCGACGCCGCCGTACACGTGCATTTGCTCCAGAGGACAGGGAGGGAGTGGGCCCTGCCTGTACTGATGATACTATGATGATAGGCAGTTAGACAGTGAACAACCGGACGAACTAGTGTGGGGGCTGTGATAGCGGCAGGCAGCCCGTGACGAGGTGGTGAGACTACGGACGGAACGGACAGTGTGACCGCGATGCGTCCGTGACTTGGCTTGCCTACGTGGTTCAGCTTCTGGCTACTACTGACTAGAGTGATCGTTGCACGGTCCAAGCCGTGCAAGGACCATTTTCTAGTACAAGAGAAAAGGAAGCGGACATGTGCAATCATCTTGTACTAGTAGTAAAGTCATATGCTACACTACTACCGTCTCTTTGTCCGGTAGTAACCTTGATTTGGAACCTTTCATTGCTATGGAGTTTGGACTGACTCATTCGTATCGTAGGATGCTGCACTCTCTGTGACAGCTACTTGGTTGGATTACTAGCTTATTTTGTTTCTTTGCCAGCCAGCGCCTAGCAACTATGGAGTAGAATGAGCCAAGTTCAACTAATAATTTGTTGTCGTAGCTCGTAGCACTAGATTGCCATGCCGTCTTTGAACTGTATTCCCTGACAACATCTGGCTAATGATTTTGAAACCTGTAACGACCTGACTGTGTAAACTCACTTCATTTCCAGGAGTTGTGGATTTCATGTCCGTGATCGTGGCACCTTAATTGGACTCCGATATGGGTTCTGCTGCTACTGAGGTGTGTAATCTGACCCTTTGTTGTCACAAACCATGCGGTGTTTAACCTTGTTCTTTAACATGAAGGTTAATTATTTAAAAAAAGGAAGGTTAATTATGTTGATTACATTTCCACTCACAGGGCAATGACACCTTGCTGGGCAATGGAGTTGTTGGGATTCTTGCTGAGACTTGTAACATGTGGGAAAGGAGGGCACCATTAACTCCTTCCCATTGTGCTCGCCTTCTGCTCGGAGGAGGAAGAATAGAGCTCAAGTAAACCGGATTATTGTGCAGCCAAGCACGAAGAGGATACATCATGACGCTCAGTATGAGGATGTAGGATGCGAGATTTCAGAAGACCTGTCAGAGTGCGGTCTTATTATAGGCATCAAACAACCAAAGGTCATATTTCTCATTAAGCTAGATACTCGATTGGACAGTGCTCTGTACCAGTATCATCATGGTTCTGAAACGCTTGGAGGTGTCTTCACTTGAGCAGTTGCAGATGATTCTTCCAGATAGAGCGTACGCTTTCTTTTCACACACTCACAAGGCCCAAAAAGAGAATATGCCACTGTTAGATAAGGTATTAAACATAAGCTTGTACCTTCATCATTTCAGTCAACTGCCATTGTCATTTCTGTAGAATATTAAAATGTTGACTAACGTTCTCAGATCCTTGAAGAAAGGGTGTCCTTGTTTGATTATGAGCTAATTGTTGGAGATGATGGGAAACGATCGCTAGCATTTGGGAAGTTTGCTGGTAGAGCTGGCCTGATAGATTTCTTACATGGTCTCGGACAGCGTAAGTACGATGACCAACACTAATAATCAGCTCATGCAATTACTTGATGATATTATGCCTTTGATACTTGGATTTTCCATCTGGGTTTATTATAGGAACTAGTTAATTTGCTCACTGCAACTTACAAGTAATTGTTTTCAATGATTTAAAATGAATTCAACTGCTGATTCATAGTACAATCTATGACTGGAGACGTCTCTGTTTGGTGTTGTATCATTGTATGTCATTCAAGCGGCCTAAGGTTCTCCCTTACAATTTCAGGATATTTGAGCCTTGGATACTCGACTCCATTTCTCTCTCTGGGACAATCTCATATGTATCCTTCGCTCGCTGCGGCCAAGGCTGCAGTCATTGCCGTTGCTGAAGAGATAGCAACATTCGGACTTCCATCCGGAATTTGTCCGATAGTGTTTGTATTCACTGGAGTTGGAAATGGTAATTGTGCTGTCAACATATTTCCATTTATTGATTTTTGTAATAGGAAGCCCCTTATATGGGTACTGTCCAACCATATGTTTTTGGCGTATGCATCTATTAGGGGCCTTGCGCGCTTTGCCTCGTTAGGAGTCGAGTCCTTTAACATTGGGTGATTTCATGATCTTAATGGTTTCAGGGCATAAAACATTCCTTCTACTGCACATGTGGTGTTATGATCACTCCTGTTCCATCTCTATTTTTGGGCCATTGCACAAATACTATGTCGTTTACAGAATTTTGCTGGTGTATATGCCTGTCGTTTTAGTGCAAGCTCAAAGAAAATACATCTTACTCTTTCCTTTCAAGGCCAAAATGACCTTAACTCATTGACATTTCCTTGAATTATTGTGGTTAAATATGATTTGTGAAACTAAATATCTTAAGCCTGCTGGCACTAGAGGGGATATTAATAGCAGTACATCGACCAAAAAGTTATATAGATATACATGCTTTCTAAAGAAAATGGAAAAAACTAGACCTTAGGGTACTACGCCTCAATTTTTACCACCTTAGTGATGTGGCTTTATCTGAAAAAACTTACGCTTGACATATATAACTTCAACGTGACAGTCTCTCAGGGCGTGCAGGAGATATTCAAGTTATTATTGCCCCATACCTTTGTTGATGCTGAGAAACTTCCTGAAATTTCTCAGGTATTATACTTTTACTCATTCTCTTGCATTAAATCATAAGTTCAACTAAACTAGTTAACCAACAATTTCTTATGTAATATCTCTTCCCTAAATGAAATCCATCAAATTTCTACCTCCTTTTCTGTATCCATCAGGATTAGCTATTGTTACTTGATTTAATTTGTAAGCATGCTTCTTAACAAACCTAGTTATACTCTAACTCTGTTTTTAATGTTACAGGCCAGGAATCTGTCTAAACAGTCTCAGTCGACCAAGAGAGTATTTCAACTATATGGTTGTGTTGTGACCTCTAGAGACATGGTTTCCCACAAGGATCCCACCAGACAATTTGACAAAGTAATGCACGTCTCTTCAACCATAAGTGGATTTTAGTTTCTCCTGGATGGTCAGTTATAACAACATTTTGTTATATTCCAGAGATGTATTCTACCACATACCCACATTTTAATTTCATCATGACCTGATACAATCTTCTCATTATACTGGTTGTGCATCAGGAGCCTTTGTGCCTATCTTTATTTTTTTTTTTTTTGGTTATAATGACCATGTCCTAATGTACTTCATCTTCTTATACATATATATATCTCAAATATATTTTTAAGTAAATTGCATCCATATTTTTCAGTTATTTTTCTAATCAGACAAGTACCTCATTAGCTTTTCAATGGCCTCAGTGCCTCACTCAAAAATCTTAAATTTGTGTAATCTGCAGGCTGACTATTATGCTCATCCAGAACACTACGCCCCTGTTTTTCATGAAAGGATTGCTCCATATGCATCTGTCATCGGTATGGTCTTGGATGAGTGCTTTTATCATAAATTGTTCCATTGTACTCTTTGAACCAACTAGAACGTGTTTTTATCAACTTTGAACATGTGATACCAGTCATATATGGGTATTACCTTGTTTTGACGCAATCTTTAATACAGCCCAGGCACACAATTCTTTCTGTTTCCGTTAATGTTACTACTCTTAAGAAAGTACAGTATTACTAACTATTATTTTGTATAGCATAGAACAGTTTTAGGGTAAAAACTAGCTCAGTCCATGATAAGATCGCTTTGCGGCTTTTTTGTTATATAAAGATGGTGGGATTTAGTAAATATCTGCTACATTGTAATAAATTTCTGGAGTAAACATATTTGTCCACACTGTATAATTTGTGTCTTCATGGTTTCTGCAGTAAACTGTATGTATTGGGAGAAGAGGTTTCCACCATTACTGAGTATGGATCAGTTACAGCAACTGATGGAGACTGGTTGTCCTTTGGTTGGTGTCTGTGACATAACTTGTGATATTGGAGGTTCCATCGAATTTGTCAACAAGAGTACATCAATAGAGAGGCCTTTCTTCCGGTATAATGATTCCTCCATTTTCCATTTTAAATTTAAAACTGGAAAATGTATAATAACCCATGAGTAGCATCACAATATCCTAAAGTGTGTTGGCATTACTTACATCCCTAATTCTTTCGAATATTCGTTGTGGATGCACAATTTTCTTACAATCTTCTGTCCTTGCCTAGTATTGTAGTTCAGTGAAACATTCTCTGATATTTACAGCACCCTAGATTCTTGGTGGCTGCTTCCTCAACCATCACAGTTACTGTTTAATAGTTTCTTCCTATAGTTATGATTCTGAATAATTACGGGATACACAACCATAGGTATGATCCTTCTAATAATTCATACCATGATGATATGGAAGGTGCCGGAGTGATCTGCTTGGCTGTTGACATTCTCCCTACAGAGTTCTCTAAAGAGGTACTCCCTCCATTCTCTTTTTTAGGCACCTGAGCATTTTTGTTAAAAAACTTATTTATAAGGCGTTGCAAGGTACCGAGGTGTACGTATTAACTTGTGTTTCACGGCACTCGAAGCGACCAAGCATGCTTTGCATCGGATTGGTCAGTGCTAATTGTATCATGCATGCATGCATCTAAATTTGGAAGTTAATCCATCCAATTTGAGCGACGTGGCATGCAAAATGGACACGAGCGTGGCACCCAATGCTAGATTAATTCTTGTATGTGTACTGCGCTGGCATCTTGGTATCTGTAGTAGTGCTCGTTGCGCCAAAAAAACACAACGGAGGGAGATTTCTTACTATAACAAAGATGCTATTTTGTATAGGCATCAGCTCGCTGCATTGATCTTACTGATTTTTTCTCGAACATTGATCTTACCGTTGTCCCATTGTATTTGAACCATGTAGGCCTCCCAACATTTCGGAAACATATTATCTAAACTTGTTCCTAGTTTGGCCTCAGTGAAGCAACCGGCAGAACTTCCTTCCTACTTGAGAAGAGCTTGCATTGCACATGCTGGCAGATTAACTCCGTTGTATGAATATATCCCTAGAATGAGAAACACTACGATGTAAGCTTCAAATACTTCTATTCTTCACCGTTGTATTCCTCTCATATAGTTCCGTTTTATGATGTGATCCATAAAGTTGCAAACCAGTTAAATAGATATTCTTGTTAAAATACGTGGTTTATTTTAACGTTTTGTACTATGCTTGTTACTCTACAATATGGGGAGTAGCATTTTGTTAAACAACCCTACAAATTGTATTCCTTCAAAGCTTCAGTCCGCGGACTTCTTTACCATGGCATAGCTATGCTTGTATCCTCCAAACTCACAGTTTTTATTTATGCTGAGTTTAAAGGGGGGTAGAGTGTACTTATGCTGTGGAATTAGTCTATTGTATAGGATCCTACTTTGAATACATCCCTTGCATTCCTCTGTGCACAGTGTTGCCCCATTGGGCATGGTAACGGATGTGTTTCTGAACTTATATATTTCTACTTGTAAACCAGAACACTTCAAGTTTTGTAGAGGACTAAGTGGCCTAGTTTTTACTCTGCTTTGTTCTAACTGGTATTTTTTATTGGTTCTCTTTAATAAATGGACAGGGAATCTATGATTCATGTGTCTTTTGTTATCAATAATTTGAACACCATCCTATTCCTGTTTCTTTAATTTTTTTTTTGTTCAGAAAGTCCTCTATGTAGTGGTTGTTCATGTTGTATAAATTGTTTTTTGGCATTTTCCTAGCATCACATAACCATAGTTTTCTCGTTATGGCACTTGTGTGCTTACCAGTATTTACCAATCACCACGTTTTAATGGTCATTAATGTTGTTATCAAAGTTATATTTCTTGCAGAGATTTGGCCCCCACAAAAACAAATCCATTGCCTGACAAGAAGTACAGCACCCTGGTTAGCAAATAGTATTTTCCTAGTACTCCAGTGCATTCATGCTTTGTATTTGATCAATACAGAATTACTTAGGCTTTTTGTCTTTAATTTAAAATTGTTGATTATATGAAACAGGTATCTCTCAGTGGGCACCTATTTGATAAGTTCCTTATAAATGAAGCTTTGGACATCATTGAGACAGCTGGAGGTTCATTTCACTTGGTTAGATGTGAAGTTGGACAAAGCATGGATGATATGTCGTACTCAGAGCTTGAAGTAAGCATTTAACTTCATACTGAACCTCAAATTAGTTAGCATGGAAATCTTCTCTGGAAAAAGTATTAGGATAAATCTTTTTAAAGAAGAATAGTTCCTAGTTTCTTTTTAAAGAACAAATCTTCTGCTGGTCAACACAACCATAATTTGTTTTGTTTCTGAAACATATGATACACACCTTTTTGCAGGTAGGAGCAGATGATACTGCTACATTGGATAAAATTATTGATTCCTTGACTTCTCTAGCTAATGAACATGGTGGAGATCACAATGCCAGGAAACAAACTGAATTAGCTCTGAAGATAGGAAAAGTCAATGAGTGTGAAACTGATGACACAGTTGATAAAGGAGGGCCAAAGGTTTTAATTCTTGGAGCTGGAAGAGTTTGTCGACCAGCTGCTGAGTTTCTAGCATCTTACCCAGCCATATGTACCTATGGTGTTGATGACCATAACGCAGATCAAATTCATGTTATTGTGGCATCTTTGTATCAAAAAGATGCAGAAGAGGTTATTCTTGCAATGATGCATTCCCCATCTCTTGACAATTTCTCTGTACTGTTTGGTTGCTTGCATGACTTGCTATTAACATGCTTTATGGACATCAATGAGCAACACCAAATTAAAAATACTGTATTTGGTCGTCTTGTATACAATATTTGTGGAATTTAACCTTTTATCTTCTCATGTCTCTGTATCTGTACATGCAGACAGTTGATGGTATTGAAAATACAACTGCTACCCAGCTTGATGTTTCTGATATTGGAAGCCTTTCAGATCTTGTTTCTCAGGTAAGTTTCATCCTGATACTTAAATATGAGTGGACCCCGATTATTTTTTAAACCAACTTCATTCACGCTTAGGCAATAGCTCCAATGTGGTTCAGGATGTTGATTTGTGCTTTCTTTCTGGGAAAATATTTTAAATTGTACCCCCTGAACTTGTTAATTACAGTACTAACTTGCCAGAAGATTAATGACGCAAGCTCCTCTTGCAGGTTGAGGTTGTAATTAGCTTGCTGCCTACTAGTTTTCATGCTGCCATCGCAAGAGTATGCATAGAGGTAGTCTTCTTATGTTCGTGGTGATTTATAAAATCCATGGTGCTCTGTTGAAGCATTAAACCATTATTGATGTGATATTTATTGTGAGGAACTTTGACTGACAAATTCATCTATTACAGCTGAAGAAGCACATGGTAACGGCAAGCTATGTTGATGAATCCATGTCAAACTTGAGCCAAGCTGCCAAAGGTGCAGGTGTAACTATACTTTGTGAAATGGGCCTAGATCCTGGCATAGGTACTTCCTCAATGCAATGGTCACTCGTGTACATTTTAATGAAATGCTTATGCAAAAGGTATTAATGGAAGTATTCAGCAGTGTATAGTGAGAGAAAGTGCTCTTTCATCATAGGTTAATTTTCCTGTAGAAACAAGCTTAAGTATATTGATTTATGTTATGCAGATCACTTGATGTCAATGAAGATGATTGATGAAGCTCATGCTCGAAAGGGAAAAATAAAGGCATTTACATCTTACTGTGGTGGATTGCCATCTCCAGCTGCAGCAAACAATCCACTTGCCTATAAATTCAGGTAGATGCATCCATGTTCTAAGTAATTCATTTATCAGTAGTAGCACAATGAGGTTTCTACATCCAGATATTCTTAACAATAATATTTCACGTGGCATCCATTCAAAAAATATTTCACGACTGGTTCAAAAAAAAAAATCACGTGGCAAATTTTTTGAAATGCTAATAGTTATATTCCTCCTTTTCAGTTGGAACCCAGCTGGTGCCCTCCGGGCAGGGAAAAATCCTGCTGTCTACAAATTTCTTGGAGAGACGATCCATGTAGATGGTCTGTTACAATTTATTTCTCCTGACCTGCTACACTAAATAAGGAGCAAATGCTTGCTCGCCTGTTCCCCTTTTTTCAAAAATGATGGCAGTAGCTTTACATAATCGTTGAAGATAGAAGTAGATGCTACAAATTACAACGTACATCTCATATAAACACACTGCGTAGACTTTGGGACTTGGCTGGGTTCAGCCCCCTGCGTAGACTTCTTCCAATGGTCACAAATGCTTTCATTTCATAGTCGTTTTCTTTCTAACTGTTTCTTGCATTTTTTTTATAGTGGTAATCCTGGGATTACCACTAAAGCTTGTATTTTCACAAAAACTCTAATTCCTCTTGATGAAATACGTACCTCATGGTACGGTCGAGAAAAAAATATAAACACACTGATAGGAATAGTACCAATTCAAGAGGTGGGACGCTAATGTATCAAGGACCAAACTTATACGCTATCCGTGTACTCCCTCTGTCTAGAAAAGAATGCAACTACGGGTTGCGTGCCATCAAAAGTGGTTCATGTTTGACCAAATTTCTATTGAATACTATTCACACTTACGGCTCCAAAATAATTCATTATGAAAATACATTTCGTAATTAATCTAATGATATTTATTTGATATTATAAATATTGATACTTTTTTTTATCTATAATTGATCAAACACTATGCTAGAATTGCATTCTTTCCTGGACGGAGGGGGTACTAGTTTTCTGTCCACAGATAAACAAACTGTGGAGTTACGGAGCACTTGGATCTATTTCATATCCTGTAATCTAATAATCTGTTGAAACAATGGATTACTCCATACAGCTCTTGAGTGATTTACTTACCACTTCAATAGGTCATAACTTGTTTGAATCAGCAAAGAGGCTCAGACTACCAGAGCTTCCAGCTTTTGCTCTGGAACACTTGCCAAATCGGAATTCCTTGATATATGGAGAACTTTATGGTATCTCCAAAGAAGCATCTACCATATACAGGGCTACTCTTCGTTACGAAGGTAAGCATCTGCATACCTTTTTTTTCAGTGAGGCATTGCTTTGCATTGCAAGTCTGATTTCCATTCACCATTTTGCTGCACATGTGCAGGTTTTAGTGAGATAATGGCAACCCTGTCGAAAATTGGGTTCTCTTTGATGCTGCAAATCATCCACTGCTGCAAGATACTAATCGCCCAACATATAAGGGTTTCCTTGATGAACTACTTAATAATATCTCCACAGCTAACACAGACTTAGATATTGAAGCCTGTGGTGGATATGATGATGAAATGATTGCCAGACTGTCGAAGCTCGGGTGTTGCAGAGATAAGGAAATAGCTGCTAAGACAGTCAAAACCATCAAGTTAGTCCTGATCCCGTGCTACAAAATTCACATCTTTTATGAACTGTTGTAGTGCAATATAAATAATGCCATCAAGTTAATGTGTTAAAGAATCCCCAGGCAAAAAATGATTTAGGGATAATAGAAACAGGAAACATGAATGCTGTAGTTGTATTTTATTTTAGAACTGACAAAACACAATCATACACGAGCAGGTTCTTGGGACTACATGACGAGACTCAAATTCCTAAGGGTTGTTCAAGTGCATTTGATGTGATTTGCCAACGAATGGAACAGAGGATGGCCTATGGCCACAATGAGCAAGTGAGGCTTAATACTATCTTACCACCTGTCATATGTCTCATGTGTTGCATGTAGCTGTTAAAATATCTGTAGTACAGATCTTTCTTTTTAAAATCATAAGAGATTCAACCTTATATTTATATTGTCATAAAAAGAAGTCAAGAAGGTAATAGAAAAGAGGCAATAATCTCAAGCTTACTAATTTATTGTTTGTAGTTGCCTTGGTCAGTTCAGTTGTATAAATTTGACAGGGACAAAACTCAGATACAAAAATGCACTTTTGATTCCTAGCAGATTTGCAGTAGATTGCCAGTTTAATGATTAATGTGAATCCAAACTTCTTTACTCTGGTCTACCACCATATTTCATACTGTTTTTACTTCATGTTCAAAAATGGATTAAATCGAATCAATAGCCTTCCTCGGATAACCATTGCTGAGACACAGCTCCTGTAAATTCAGGACATGGTACTGCTCCACCACGAAGTCGAGGTGGAATACCCAGACGGGCAACCCACCGAAAAGCACCAAGCGACGCTACTGGAGTTCGGGAAGGTTGAAAATGGCAGATCCACCACTGCCATGGCCTTGACCGTTGGTATTCCAGCAGCAATAGGGGCCCTGGTATTAAACCTAACCACAATTATACTTGCATAATAATAAGGATAAAAGTCAAAAAGGAAATGGAAAATAATGTGTGTTCATTTGCTCTCGAACCATGTTATACTGCAGCTATTGCTACAGAATAAGGTCCAGACAAAAGGAGTGATCAGGCCTCTGCAACCGGAGATCTACATTCCAGGTGTGCTGGTTTTCATGCCTGTCCTTGTGGAATTATCATGACGCGCAACTGTACTGACTCTGTGTATTTGCGTGTGTGAAGCATTGGAGATCTTGGAGTCGTCAGGCATCAAGCTGATTGAGAGAGTGGAGATTTGAAAGTTCAAGTCACTGTCCGTTCGGATCAACTTGCTGCGGCTGTGGCTGTGTTGCGCTGCGCTGCAGCCGTAGCAGCTCCCAGCAGTTCATCAAATCAAATGCAAAGAAAGTTGCAGCAGCTACAGTAAAACGGCTGCAATGTATGCTATAGTTGGGTACATATGTCTTTGTATACCTGTCGTAAGAGACGGCAAATGTCTCCGTATATATGACCCTATCAAATAATGCCCGGCAAAGAAACCTCTGCATATATGACCTATATCAAATAATGGCGATCAGTTGGCTTGGCTCTTTTGAGGGGCTTATTCTATCACAGCACCCAAAATACAAGATTCATTCGTTCTTTGGGTAGCGTTATAGGTAAAAGGTTTCATATCTATTCGGTATCTTCTTCAACAAAAGACTCAATCTTTTCTGTAAATGGGTTTTTAGAAGAGAGGATGCTCATATTTAGGTTGTGTCTCGCAGGCAATGTAAAATAGGTCTTTCGTATAGGTACTCTGTTGGAGGCTGATTTTGGATCTCTTATTGCCTATTTTGGGTTTGGATGTTCCTTATTGAAACAGTCCTGTACTGTAATAATGCGGCCGAGAGCAAGCGCTGCCGCGCTGGTCCGTGGCACCACACATTGCCGTCATCAGACTCAGCAGAATGCACCACCCTGCCATTATATGGTCTGACTGTAGAAGGTTTTCGATGCACAAAAGCAACCAGCAAAGCATAAACTAGACGGGACGTCAGAGCAACAACCACCTGCGTTGCCTGAAGTTTACATTGCGTCAGTTCTCCGAATGAACTTTGCGTCCTGTGCACATCATGAGTCATAAATACAAGCAACATGAATCACCGAGCAGAGAAGAGCAACAACAACAATAAAGCCTCTAAGTTCTAAACAAGTTAGAGTAAACTAGAATTAAAATCCAGCAGAAGCAATCAAAGTTCACGTGAATAACTGTTTTCTAAACACTCTTATTTAAGACTAAGTTTTTAAGTCTATTTCATCATTTCAAATCTCCTTTTATTGCTTCTACTCAAGTCAACTTCGATCTTCCTCTGCCTCTCTTCACGTTACTATCCTGGTTTAGGATTCTACTACGCACCGGTGTCTCTAGAGATCTCCGTTGGACATATCCAAACCATCTCAATCGGTGTTGGAGAAACTTTTCTTCAATTGGTGCTACCCCAAATCTATCACGTATATTATCGTTTCGAACTCGATCTCTTCTTGTATGACCGCAAATCCAACGCAACATATGCATTTCCGCGACACTTATCTGTTGAACATGTCGTCTTTTCGTAGACCAACATTCTACACCATACAACATAGCAGGTCTAATCGTCGTCCTATAAAACTTGCCTTTTAGCTTCTGTGGTACTCTTTTGTCACATAGGACACCAGATGCTTGACGTCACTTCATCCACCCTGCTTTAATTCTATGGCTAACATCTTCATCAATATCCCTGTCTCTCTGTAGCATTGATCCTAAATATCGAAAGATATCCTTCCTAGGCACTACTCAATCTTCCAAACTAATATCTTCCTCCTCCCAAGTAGTAGTGCCGAAGTCACATCTCATATACTTAGTTTTAGTTCTACTGAATGTAAAACCTTTAGACTCCAAAGTCTCCCACCATAACTCCAGTTTCTGACTCTCCTGTCCGATTTTCATCAACTAGCACTACATCGTCTGTAAAAGGCATACACCAAGGAATCTCCCCTTGTATGTCCCTTATGACCTCATCCATCACTAAAGCAAACAGATAAGAGCTCAAAACTGACCCTTGATGTAGTCCTATCCTAATCGGAAAGTCATCGTGTCTCCATCACTTGTTCGAACACTAGTCACAACATTGTTGTACATGTCCTTAATGAGCCCGACGAAATTCGTTGGGCAGAGAACCTTGTCTTAAAAACATGTGGTACAGGTTACAGTCACTGGGGATCCAATTTGCTAAACAAACAACAATCTTTGCATAGAACCTCATGATGATACAATCATCAAAAAGATCCAAGAGTTCTAAAAACAACAGATCCCATTAAGACGCATTGACTAGTTGTACACCATATACTTTGGTGTTGCACTGAATTTCTGGTAGCCCTTGATGACCTTGTTGACAGCATCGAGGAAGTCCTTTTCTGTCACCGTTTTCCTGCGGGCACGGATGGCATACATCCCAGCTTCTGTGCAAACGCTCCTTATATCCGCTCCTGGAGTAACAAGCAAGGCTATGTGAGAACCTGATCGTCTATCGTAAAATCTTCAAGTAAAACGATCGAATCAAACAGAAAACATTCTGACGAAACCACAAAGCAACTCACCAGTAGAGTTGGGGCAGAGCCGTGCAAGAAGCTCAAAACGAATATCTCGCTCGCAGTTCATGGTTCGTGTATGGATCTTGAAAATTTGGGTACGGCCCTCCAGGTCAGGTAGCCCGAATTCTACCTTTCTGTCCAGACGACCAGGACGCAGAAGCGCAGGATCCAAGGTATCAGGCCTGGAGAAAACATAGAAGGTGGTCAGCTTCTCAGGCCTGGGATATGGCCAATAAATTTTATAGCCATTATAAACAATACGCCTTCATGCAGCCATGTCAGTTTAAGGCATGGAGCCTATAAACAATAGGTTTTCATGCAGAACTTCGCATATTCAAAATCCTATGTTTCTTCAGATAATATCTTCAGAATAGAGTACGAGGTAATCACCTAAAAGGATCTGGAATCACATGAGTAGAATGAAAAAATGAAATACCTATTAGTGGCCATGAGAACTTTGATGTTCCCTCTTGCATCAAACCCATCAAGCTGGTTTACTATTTCCAACATTGTTCGCTGCACCTCATTGTCGCCACCCACCCCATCATCAAAAACGAGCACCACCAATAGCATCAACTTCATCAAGAAAACAATGCATGCTTTCTTTGAGCGGGCCATCTACAATAGTGGAATTCTTTTCAGAAATACGTTGAACAGAAAAAACTGGATGAATCTTTACGGATTCGCAGCACTAGATATACCTGGAACAGTTCCCTGACCATCCGAGCACCTTCTCCGACATACTTCTGAACTAGCTCACTTCCAATTACACGGATGAAACAAGCATCAGTCCGATTTGCTACAGCTCTTGCAAGAAGAGTCTTGCCAGTACCAGGTGGACCATAGCAAAGGACGCCTTTTGGAGGGTCAATACCAAGCTTGACAAACTTTTCTGGGTGAAGCATAGGAAGTTCAACAACCTGCAAAAATGGTACAGCGAAGAGTAAATAAAGTAGGTCCATAACTAACTGTGATGAAGTATGTGCCAGCTCACAGCAAGGAAAAAGGATCACATACTTCACGCATCTTCTCAATCTGCTCCTTGCAGCCACCAACATCATTGTAAGTCACATCTGGCTTTTCCTCCACAGTCATCATGGTAACACTTGGGTCAATTTTTGGTGGAAGAGGGATCTGAATCTGGTACTTGTTACGATCAACACTGCAACAAGCATCAGGTGTGAGATCACAAATTTTTCACTAGGTGGGAAAAAGTTTCAACTTATTCAGGAACAATAGCACAACGCATAGAGAAATAACCAAAAGGCCAGTCATGTTTCAGCAATAAAATGAATACACAGGATCATTTTTAGATTAACCAACCTTTTCATCTTAATATTACATAGGGCAGAGTTTTATACTCTAGCATCCAATCCATGCAGCTAACAATTATTTCCAATGCAATAGTAGTATTCAAAGATTACTAAAATACAAAGATACACTAGATTCAATATTGTTTTTCAGAAAACACTATGCGCCTACCAAGTCATGGTCATGGAGGACAGCTGATTCAACAAAGCAATGCTTTCTCATCTATGTCAAACATGTAAAGTTCATGACATCTTTCCAAGGGACATGGCAATCACTACACGAATGGCCATTGCTTTTTTAAGCCTTCTAATAAGTAATAACTCAAATCAATAGGCATTGTTCTCATAAGACATGCCAGCTTGCATGATGGCATATCATTTTCTTACAAATAATCACCGGAAAGATGGGCCAGTTTTGTATACATTTTTCACAAGTACATAAATGCATCATAGTGCTGTAGTAGAAATGAATGACTAAGTATGATATGGTAAGGGAAGAAAACACTTTAAGACTTATGATATGCTTAATTTGAAAATACAGGATGGCATACCCGACCCTCATCCCTTCCTCGATATCAGTTGGAGAGACCTTATCTCCCAGTCCAACCACAAACTGCAGGATTCAAAACAAGGCATAAGATAAAGGTGTACAGTTTCTAGGTGGCATGAGATGGAAATAAAATGGCAAGCATGGCATACCTTTGCAATTTGTTTTACATTTATAACATATTTGGCATCATCCGTATTAGGGCTTATAATCTTTGTACACCTTGCTACCTGCAGGAGGATAAATATTAGTTATTAGTGCGCTGGCACATGTAAAACTGAAACTGAAAAGATTTTGTGCCCAACTATCATGCATGGTAGGTCGTAATTCAAATCTGTAAAAACTACTAAGTAACATAATATCAGGTTCAGTTAATATACTTGTAATGGTTGTTCTTCTTGCATCATCTGTTTATCTGAAACCAAATCCCACTGGCTAGGTGGAGCCAGCCCTGTATCAGACTCCTTTATCCCTGCATTTAGTATAAGAGCACATCTCAGGTCAAAAGGAGCTTGCTAACATTAAAACGAGCTGATGAATTGCAGAACAACATAGAACATAATAGAAAACACCAGACATAAGACATAATTGAAAACACCAGACATAAGATGTGGTCTCATAACCAATTCATCTTACTACACTATTAAGTTAATAACATGTCATTACTACACTATTAAGTTAATAACATGTCAGATATCTAGAGTGCAGGGTAATATATAGCAGCACCCCCATGCCAGAACTATAGAGGCATCCCTAAAGAAACAGTTCCCATCGATTTTTACCCTTGTTCAGTAAACTAGAATGTTTCAAGTGTAACACACTAAATAATGCATCACTGCATCTTAACCATATGGATAACTATACGTGAGATCGTCAATTAAATGAAACTCCCTATTAGCTGCAAGTAAATAGACAGCGGAAACAAGTGTTGCCAAGTGAATAACAATTCTCAGTGTAATAACTCCACAATCTAAGCCAGAAGATCAATAAAAAGACACAAAGTGATCAAACTTATCCTTAGGACCAACTCAGAAACAAACTGGCCTACATCTCCAATGCCACACCAAAAAAGTCATAATAAAATTATCACTCACCACAAAGGTCATTGATTTTCTTGGCCATTTCCTTGATCTCCTTCTCGACCTTCTTGATGCTGGTCGAGTACGGCCCAAGCCCCTGCAACAGCATCCAGCAAACCAAAATTAGCAAATATCAGCAGTTTATCCCATTAAACCACACACGGTGACCTAAATCTGGTAAAAGCACGATGCCGTCACAAACGACAGAGGAGATCAAAACCCTAAACCAATCTCGAGCCCGGACCACAACGAACACAACTACGAAGCCCCACCCCCAAGACCAGATCACCAAAGAACCCTAGATCCACGAGATCAGAGAGATCCAAACGGGGGTCGAGGGACGCACGTAGGTTTTAAGGAGGGCGATATCGTCCTCGTCGAGGGGGCGGGGGTTCTTCTCGTTCATCATGTCATCCTCCGGTTCCGGAGCCATGGCTGTCCTCCTGAGCGAGCGGCGCTTCTCCGGCGGCGAGGGCAGAGGCGGCTGTGGCGGCGAGGGAGGTCGGGCGGGGGCGCGGGGCGAGGAGATTGGAGATGCCTTCATCTGGGGGTACTTCTGACTTCGTTTTATTGGTATTTTTCTTTCCTCTTCTCCAAGGGACCCTTCTGCACCGTGTGATGCTGATCGGACGGAGCCAGATATCGCTTTGCCTATTATACGGAGGGAAATGGAAAATTGGATGGGTACCATTTGGATGGATGAGTACAATTGAAAGTTTGGGAATGTACCTTCTTTGCTACTATACCATCAAATTATCACAATAATATTCATTTAAAAACAATATCACAATAGTATTGATTTGTACCACTTTCGTTAACTTTGCTAATGTCGGGCTCTTTTCTTCCAACTCTTTTTATAAGAAACTGGAGGGCAAAGCCCCTACAGGAATTTTATTGAAGTTAAATAATAGAAAGAAAAAAAGGGAACAACAACAACAACAATAATAGAGTTCACAAAATTCAAGAAGCAAAAAAAAGAAAGAAAGAAAATGGCTCCGACTAGCAAGCTTATAACAGATTTTGGAGCCATGATTCAAAACTAGCAGAAGAGCTTGACTTGATTCTTAGTGAAACCAGAGATAGTTCCCTTTCGAAGTGTCTTTTGGAGACCGAGATGTTTGGTTGAATTGCTTTGAAGATGAGGTCATTCCTCGCGTACCAGATTGTCCAGCTCATAAGGATGATTGCCACCACGAAGAAAACCGAGTGAAGTTGATCTTTCAGGAGAATGACAATGTCTAGGAAGGCACCTGGTGGGGTGAAGTCAAATCCAAGCAAGCAATAGCAAAAGGGCAGTTGAGGAAGAGGTGATCACGAGTTTCTTCAACATCATTTTGGCAAGGACTCAAGAAACATTTTTTTTCCTTCTAAAAATATTTCTTGTGCTTAGTCGATCCTTCAAGAGCAGCCAGAAATTCTTCCAACTTTTGAGTCATCTCCTTCATGGTTCTTCTTCAAACTCACCCTCGTCGTAGAGTGAAAGTTTGGTGTGTCCCTGGTTATCCTTTTTATCCTTTCTGTATAACACGATGTCTTGCCACACCATGTTCTGCATACATCTCTTGTCTCCGGAAGTAAAGGTGTACAGATACAACTAGTCTCCTCATTCCTCTTTGTTCGAGAGCAAATATCAGCTCAAGCTCAAGCTTATGTTTTTCTTCCTCCACCACGAGCATCTTGATCTTCTCTCTTTCTTCCTCCACCGCAAGCAAAGAGCGCGGATCACTAGGACACTCCAACATCATTTATTTCTACCTCTCCTAATACTAAGTTTGCAAACTGCATATTGGTGCCACATCCTTAATCCTAGCATCAGTTCCATCAATCCAAGCGCCAAATCACTCCTATACAGCATCTCCTCGTCGACTCTTGCAGCACAGACACTGCAAGAATTGTATGGCTTTGTTGCCTCCGAATAACTTGTATTTTTGTGTGCTAGGCATTTTTGGTTGACATTAATTTTCGATATGTGGGTAATCTGGCTCGTACTTAAAAGCCAGGCTCCCATTGTTAGGGTTCGTACATGCGGGACCAGTTTGTTTGGTCACACATTTACATCCATCCTGGCCAAACACATGTTAACTGGTTGTCTTGCTCTGCTTCCTCCTCATTTTGTGCATGCACCGAGTGTATTCAGCCGCATGGCGGTGGCGGTAGGCCAGTCACTAGTGATGGTTCAGGGGCGGGGTGGGGGCTAGCTAGATAGCAGGACCTGATGGCTACAGGTGGCGAAGGACATGTAGATGAGGAGAGTCAAAAGAGGTGGCAGAGGATTAAGTGAGAGAACAAGTGAACGAAAGAGAACGCGCTTGAATTTGTCAGATGAGCAGAGCAGATAATGGAACAGTTAAGGCGGAAGACGAACTATAGAGGTTACTGGTTTTTTAATTATATATCCTACGTATTGTCCGCCTTGTGCAATTGTAGTTTTATGCATTTTTGCTAATATAGGGGAACACATTCCCAGAGCGCGTTGCTAATGAAAGCAACACTCGCTTCCTACCTCCCTCCCTGCTTACCTCCAACCCGCCTCGCCGCCTCCACCATCGCCCTGGCCCTTGTCGTCCCCGTCGCTAGCCGCACCATCCACCCCACCTCTACTCTTATCTAATCCGAATCGAGGCTCCTTGTTTCTATCGGCCTGTTATCGGCCTTGCCGACCACCCCAGTCAGCAACGACGCCACCACTAGCCGCACCGTCCACCTATCACCCCCTGCTCCTCCTATATGTCCTCCCTTAATCCAAACCGGAGGTAGAAACCACTTTTCTCGCCCCCACTGCATGCTCTTTCTGACCGGTTGTCTCCCGCCACCCACTCGGCGTCACTCCAATCATCGCCTCGCTTGTTGCCCTTCGGCTTGCCATCGCCATCGCCATCGCCAGCCCCTCCCCCCTTCTAAAGGCCACCGACCATGGAGCCCCCCTCCCCCCTCGAAAACCCAAACTCGAACCCTAAGACCCTTGGACCCTCTCCTTCTGCGCTCATCCGAGCACACAACCACGCCGCTTCACCCACCTCCAGCTCATTCATGTGCTGCTCGCGCCTCCTCCTTCCCTAGTCTCGGGCTCACGAAGACACGCGTGGCAAACAAGGATTGTGACATAGTAATTAACGGACTACATTAATTCAACATGTCACTTTGGATCTCACCAGAAGTTGCCCCTTCAGGGCATAGCTGAGCTCGATCGCCAGAGATGCATTGTTCTGGCCGTATCCGTATATATACACTACTTGTCAGCTACTAGGTGCTAGCCCAGCCACTTGTTGACGTTGCGTACACGCCGTTGCTTTGGCCTCTGCATGGGGCGTAGGTTGCGGTTATCACAGGCAAAGATGGCACGCGAAGTTCAAATAAGACCCCCCGGAAGCCGGAAGTACGTCGCATTAATCAGTGGCGGACCTAGGAATTGAACCGAGCCTGGGCGAAGTCAAAGGGAGTTTTCTTCTTCATCTTAGTATAGAACATGGTTACATCCACAGACCATGAATATGATCATATATATGAATGCCAACCTAAGCACATTTTTGTTAAGAAGAAAAAAGTTATAATAATGCATGATCTTAGTAAATATAGGCTTATTAAGATCAACGCGGTCTCTGCAAGACTAGTATCATAGTATGGACCCTAAGCCCCTTCTGACATTATACATCGTGCTAGTGTCCGGCCGATGGTGGTGATGCATGTTGGTTATTTGGTCTCAGGAAATCCCATCAATTGATCGTGAGTTCGTTTAATTTACACTCTATAAGGATAGCTATTAATTTGCTGCATAATCCAAACCTATCTAGTTTTGGATAGTGTGTACTAGGCTAAGAAAATACGAAGTTACCCGTAATATAACACATCCAGGAGCCACAGAGCAGAAGCATGAGATACATTAGAGGTTTGACTGCAGCAACGGTAGTAATATTACCAGAAAGTGATATGTGCCAGCTAGCGTCGTGCGTTCGGTCACATAGCAGCCGCTCAGCTCAGGTTCAATTTCTTGACGAGCGTTCAATTTTCTGCAGCAGCAATCGTAGAATACCATATAAAAAAAAAAGCGCTGGAGCCCGGGCAGCCGCCAACGCTCGCCGGGCCTTGGGACCGCCCGTGGCATTAATCCGTTCGTTTGTTCCTCACGCAAGGCCGTGAGTGTTGACAAATCCAGCCATCACTGCATCTGCATGCAAACGTCGTTGGCTCCACCAGTCTACGTTCCCCCAAGATGAGACCTCGCATGTCGCGCCAGGTCTAGCTCTCGATCGCTTCCATTCCATTTCCACGCACGCACGGACTCCGCCTCACCCTCGCCCACCTTTACGCAAAGGCGTCGCCGTTACCGTGCCGGCCAAGCTCCCCACCCCCCACCCCCAGCAAAAAAACTACCACCGACGATGCTTCCCCTACCTGCAGCTGCCTTCAATTCGATGTCAGTACGTGTAGCTAGCAGCCTAGGAGTATAGCTAACATCATATCAGTCGCTCCCTAGTCCCTACTTGCATCGCATACTTGCCTGCTCGTCGCTCTCAACGTCTCCGATCCATGCATGCAGCGGCAGCACAGGCTAAGCTAACAAAATCCTGTGATCAGCTAGCAGCAGGCCGCGTCGTCTAAGCACCTCTGATCTGCGACGACTGTGGCGTGTGTGTGCGCGCTTCTTTATTTGCTTGCCAATCGATCGATGCCGTCACCGCCGCCGCCGCCGCCGAGGAATTCTCTCAACGAGTCGTTCATGGGCAACGGCAATCACGCGCCCCAGCAGGTGGGCACGAAGCAGAGGCACGGCGGCGGCGGCGGCTTCCCGAGGCTGTCTGCCTCCAGCAAGGCGCTGGTCCTGCTGCCGCTCCTGCTCCTGGCCTTCATCTTCCTCTTCATGTACCCCAAGGAGTTCGAACTGCAGGCAATGCTGAGCGCCTGCGGCCCGCCGGCTGCGGAGCCGGCGGCGGCGGGCGTGGCGGTGGTCCGGAAGCCCGACTTCCGGCTGCTCATCGGCGTGCTGACCCGCGCGGACCTGTACGAGCGGCGGCACATGCTGCGCATGGTGTACGGGCTGCAGCTCGCGTCGCCGGAGGAGCCCCTCGCGGCGCACGTGGACGTCCGCTACGTGTTCTGCCGGCTGTACAAGGACGACCAGCGCGTGCTGGTGCCGCTCGAGATCCTCGTCCACGACGACGTCATCGTGCTCGACGGCTGCGAGGAGAACCTCAACGGCGGCAAGACGTACACGTTCCTGTCCACGGTGGCGCGTCTCTACGCCGACGAGCCCTACGACTACGTGATGAAGGCCGACGACGATATCTTCCTCCGACTGCCGCAGCTGGTGGCGTCGCTGGGCGAGATGCCCCGGGACGACATGTACTACGGCGCCACCATCCCGTGCGACAGCATGGACCCGTTCCGAGAGTACATGGCCGGCATGGCCTACGCGCTGTCGTGGGACCTCGTGCAGTGGATCGCCACCTCCGACGTGGCGCGCAACCACAGCGTGGGCACGGAGGACATGCTCACGGGGCTCTGGCTCAGGATCGGGGACAAGGGGAAGAACCGCTTCAACGCCAAGCCGGCCATCCACGACTACCTCAACCCGGTGCCTGTGGACCAGTGCGAGCACGAGTTCATGCCCAGCACCATCGGCGTGCACAGGCTCAAGAGCAACCCGAGGTGGGCGGAGGCGCTCAAGTACTTCAACTTCACGGCAGGGCTCAAGCCGTCCAAGTTCTACAAGATCGACTAACACCTAGCCTCTCCTATCTACTTCGGATGCATGCATGCGTTGCTTAATTTTGGGGGAGCTTTTAATTAATTTATACATAAAAACAAATGTGTTCCTTGATTTGATCTGTGCTCTTCTCACAAACTCCATCTTTCCACTTGTTTTTTTTTACCATATTTTGTACTTCATAACGAATTAGTTAGAAGAGCTGCCGGTTATACTAAAGAAAACAAAAAAAAAATCCAGATTAGTCGGTACAACATAGCAACACAGCAGCAAAAACACCCTTAAGAGTGGAACAACGACTAAACACCAAAGAAGTTGACAAACAAAAAAAACACCTAAAGCAATTGCAACTAAACCTTTGGAACAAAACCCACAACAATTGCAACTAAAATAAAATCTAACGAATAGGCAACAAAATCTCCGTCACATGGTCCAAAAAAGCATGACCTTCTCCCCGCATGAGAGAGTTGAGGACGGAGGTCCGGTGGTAGTAGTTCCCTTAGGCAGTCTGCATAGCCACGAATGACATCCCAATCAAACTTATTGTTCTTCCCAATAATGCCTAATTCCTCACACTATTTTGCACTCCTACTTCACAATATATACTTGGCGAAATTCAACACACATATAGTAACTGTGAGAGAAATATAAAAATCTCTATTCGCGAGAGGATTGGAGGATTGGCGTTCAGCGAGCACCTCTGCCGCTACCTGCGAATGGCTAGGTGACGCGTGGCCGCTCTGTCGCACTGACTCAAAACAGGCTATCACATGGCTGGAGGGGCTACGTGCGACCAACACAGTTAGCCAAACCCGTGTACCCTATTTTCTACGCACAAAAAGTGAGGTGAGCCACACGAAGTGGTTGCACTAGGGGCACCTCCTTGTTGCTCCCACCCTTGGCGGGCATTGTAGCCTGCAGAGGTCACTACAGGCGAGATGGTGTGTTTTGGTGGTGACTTCGCTCCCCCGTTCCCCCTCTTTCTTCCACCTCGACCAGGCCTATAGCGCGCGCGGGGGGGGGTGGTGGTGTTTGTAGAAGACAGAAGCTAGTAGAGGAGTAATCTCTCCTGCAGGTAGACCGAGCTGGCCTGTGAGGCATGGCGACCGGTGTCCCTGGGTACCTCCTCCCCACTCACATTGGCTGCCATCATCTGGAAGCTGGTCAAGATGGGCCCTGCCGGCAAGAAGATGCACTTCAGCAACGTCGCCTGAAAACTAAAGGTGGCACCATCTTCTTCCCTTTTGTTTTACTTAACCCTGATTTTCATGGCTCTTCAAGCTTTTGTGCAAACACTTCAGGAATCGAACTGATGTCAGTGCTAAGTTTTCATTTTTCAATCTATATATCCTTCCGATATTGTGTCGCATCCGTATCTGTACCTTTAAAGTAGCAGCTGACCCTAAATTCTCAGTGTGGCACATGTGAAGCTTCAAGATAGGACATTGCTTTGAAAGAAACATACTATGCTCTTATCTGAATCTTTTGGACGAGGTGAAGTCTCCCAAACCCCTACAAACCATTTGTCCGGTATTATTGTGCACAAGTAATGTCATATGCATGCGTGATGCATGTATATACAGTGCCCCTGTTTATATGTATTCATGGAGTCCAGTATTTGTGCACATGAGAGAGACAGAGAGTGTATATGCTAATATGCATGCTTAGCTTGGTGCTGGCATGGGCATACAGGATGCGTGACAACTGACAACAGGTATATATGCTGAGATCGTTTTACCTCCAATTCAATGCTAGTTCTCAGCCTCTCACACAGTACAGCAACATAAACTCTAGCTATTGCCTAAAAATCTAGAACAACGTATGCTTGACAACATATATGTATGGTAGATCGACCTCTCTACCACCTAGACGTGGTAGACGTTTTGCAAGTCAACATGATAGAGCTTGGACGGCTTGAGCCCCTGGGTGGCGTTGAAGAAGTGGAGCGTGCGCGCCCACTTGAGGCGGTCCTTGAGCTTGTGCACGGCCACGGCGTCGGCGATGTGCTCGTGCCGGAAGCAGTTGACGTCGGTGGCCATCTCCCTGTCCCAGTAGTCGTACATCCTCGGCTCCTCGTTGTACACGTTCTTGTACTTCCCGCCCTTGCGCAGCCACCCGCCGAAGTCGACGTCCTCCCAGTCGTTGTGGTCGTCCCGGAGCTCCGGCGTGGCGGCGATCCACTCCGCCACGTCCCACGACACGACGTACCCCATCCCGGACATGTACTGCTTCTCGGGCAGCCAGTGGCAGGGCGTCAGGTAGCCCTGGTACGCGTCCCGCCGCGCCTTCCCGCTAAGCGACTCCGCCAGCGCCGCCACCCGGTAGTAGGTGTCGTCGTCGGTCTTGCCCACGTAGTCGTACCGCTCCCCGGCGAAAAGCCCCGGCACGGCCGAGAAGTAGGCGTACGTCTTGCCGTCGTTCATGTTCTCCGTGCAGTTGAGCACCACCACGTCGCCGTGCGCGATGATCTCCAGCGCCACCAGGATGCGGTCCTCCTCCCGCTCGATGCGGCACATGACGAAGCGCACGTCCACCACCGCGCGCACGGGCCGCGGCTGCAGGGAGTAGGCCAGACGCAGGAGCGCGCGCCGCTCGTACGTGCTTGGGGTGGTCACGATGCCCATCAGCAACCGCAGGTCCACCGCCTCCTCCGCAGGAGAGCCTCCGGCGGTGAGACGGCCGACCGCCGACGTCGCCGAGGCGCCGTTGTTGTCGTTGCATGACGACGACGAGGACGACCCGAACATCCCCGGGAGCCTGAAGTTGTCGGGGAAGAGGACCAGGTAGATGACCGCAGCCAGGAGGATGCCAGGGAGGAGGAAAAGCGAGGTGCGTGGGGACGACGACGGAGCTCCAGGAGAAGACGGAGGCTTCATCCTGCTGTCCGGCCGTCCGGCGGTCGTCGTCTAGCTAAGCTTCTCGAGGCTCTGGCTAGCTGATTAGCTGCTGCTAACTTGGTGAGCTCAGTAGTGCTCGGCGGCGAGCTGTTAGTTAAGCTCACTTAAGTAGACGGAGCACTGACACTGTGCTTTGCCTTGCAGCCTTGCAGGAAGGTGCTGTAGATCTGAATCCAAGTGTGTCTGTTCACTGAACTACTCCGGGGAGTAAACCGCGCTTCTATTTTTGTATAATCCTAGTGTGAAAATAGATGCCTTGAGCTGTCCATACATGGCGTTTTTTACTGCAACATGTGAGTATGTGACTACAATTGGCTTAGATCTAAGCCCGGTCAGCTCGTGGGTAAATCTTTTATCGACTGCGTTTATTGCGTAGATCTGAAGCGAGCAGGATCCGAGGAACGAAACGTGCAGCTGTTGACCAATACTACCTTGCATCGTTTTTATAGTTTTGAAAAGTGACACCGTCACCGAAGTATAGCTTTGTCTATGTTTTGTTTAATACTCATCTATTTTAAATTATAAGACATTTTGGATTTTCTAAATTTATAGCTTTTGCTATGCACCTAGAGATATATTATGTCTAGATATACAGTAAAAGCTATAAATATAAAAATACCAAAATATCTTATAATTTGGGAAATATAGGGAGTAGTATATAAAAACAGCAATAGATTTACTGTTAAAGGAATATTTGAAAACTAAGTTAATACATCTTAGCATCTTCAAAAAAAAACTGAATGTTTTAAAAGCTACTATGGGCAGTTGAAGTTATAAAGGTTTGACTTTGACATCAGCCTAGTAGTAACAACAGAAATTAGGAAACGGAGAGCGTGGGTATATTTACGAGTGTCCATGTGATTTTTATTATAAAAAAAATAATGTTAAAGGCAATATCATAATAACTCGGTAGCAACTGACACCTCCTACCTCTACCTTTGCCTTTCAGCAGCGGGCTTGCTAGCACCTAGACATATGGATGGTGTTCCGACCTCAGCGCCTGTAGCTGTTTTCCGTGTCATTTCACGTGTCCACATGGGGCCCATGCCGCTTCAAACGTCACCAGCGTCGAGAAAGAGGGAGAGGGGGGCGGCAGATGCCCAGCTGACACCGGGAGGAGGAAACACTAAGACGAGGCAGCAGAAAGTGAGGAGAAAGATGCAACATCCGATCTACTTTTATAACATCCAGATGCAACACTTGCAACATGTCTGAAGGCAAATGAAAGACTTGAAATAAGTGTCTGAAATACTTGTGGAAAATGCCTGAAAAACACTTGAAAACCATTGCAAACATATGCAACATTCAGATGAAACACTTGCAAACATACGTATGAAAACACATGAACACTTGAAACATATGCTTGTAACATACATGTATATGCAACATCCAGATCTACTTTTGCAACATCAAAAAAAAACTTGCAACATATGTCTGAAACAGATGAAACATTTGGAACATACCTTAAAACATACGTGTATATAGTTATAGCCATTACAACATGTACAACATCCCGATATACTTTTACAACATCAATATACAATAGTTGCAACATACCTCTGAAGCATCTAAAACACTTAAAACATACTCTTGCAACATGCGCTTTCAATGTAGCATGTGCTTGCTGCTGGGATGAATAGAGGCTTGTTGACGACGCGAAGCTCGATGCTGCGCAGTGGGGGGAGATACCAGCGGGCGGGCAGTTGCGCGGCCCCGGTGGGCCATTCTCGCGCTACTTCTTGCGGTCCTCCGTGTAGGTTCAGCCAGTGCGTGTGAAAGGTCCTAATGGCTAGAGGGGGATGAATAGCCTATTAAAAAAATTCTACAATAACACTAAGGCAAGTGATTAGTAAATAAGATAGCGAAGCGGATTTTGCGCTAGCACTACACTTGTGTTGCAAGCCACCTATCCAATTCTAAAATCTATGATCTCTAGTATATCACAACAAGGCTAAGTCACTAATTTACACCTCGGTGAGCAAGCTAGCAAGAGAACTATAACTAAGAGCTACACTAACTAGTTTCAACTACCACAAGCTTTACACAAGTAAAGGCACAATATAATACAAGAGAGTGGTAGAGAGGTATACCGTCGTGGCAAGTGATTAATCAATGAAC